TCCCTGTAGCGTGTTTGCAGTGAACACTGCTTGCACGTCACGGGTCGGAGAGAGAGCACCGCCGTGTATTTGTAAGAGGAACGCCCATCGCCTATCAGTTGTCTAGATAATAGGAAGGTAAAATGATTTGCCCGCTCTGAACACATGGTGCGTCCAAAATTGATTCTTTTTTTGGTTTCGGATATCAGTGACGAGGGCTATCTTACGAATGACGGCCGACGCCACAGCTTTTCGAAAGGCCACTTCATGGAAGATTGAATGGATCGGAAAACAACGTTGACAAAACCGGCACACAGGATCATGTGTTACGCCATCTGACGGACGAAATGTTCCCGATCTTATCCTTCACGGCAAAGAAGGGCCGGTTGTGTCCGCCGTCACCAGGGAACAGCTGTGCAAACTTCTCAGGTGGAAGGCCGGGATTTACAAGATTCTTGTGCCTGACCATGTGCGGAAACTCTACTTTGACGTGGACAAGGCCGAGACCCCGCTAAGCGAAATCAAGAGGGTCATACTCGGGGAGTTTCAAAATGCCCGACTCCAGATATCGGGCAGAGAAGGGTCCTGGCACATCATCCTTTCAAATTACTACGCGCAAAACCTGGAGGCTATGGGACCCGTTGTGCGTTTCGTCCATCAATACAAAGAGCTAGGATTTGACACCCATGTCTACACGAAAAATCGAAACTTCAAGTGCATCAACCAGGCGAAGCCCAATCAACCCAGGCAAGCTTACATCGAGGGAGACGCGGAATGGTCAAAGCATCTAGTAATGCACGATTTTGACGACCATGCTGTTGATATTGCGACGCTCTCTTTTCCCATGCTTCCAGAACTCGCCACGAAACGGCGAGACGGCTCCCCTGCCACCAAGTTAAGCATCCTGGCTTTGCCAAAGAAAACGCTCAAGTCCCCACCGATTTCGGTTGGCTCACCGCAGAACCTCTCGGCAAACTTGCCATCTTGCCCTGCGCCAAGCGGGCGGAAGACGGCTTTCTCTCGGCACGACATTCTGGCGTGTCATGCTCTGGTGTTGGGACGTTGGAATTGACTATGAATGTTATGATCTCGACGACGGGGGCGGAAGCGAAGTAGAGAAGACAGGGCGAGTGTGATAGGCGACAAGAGATTGTATTGGCGAAAACAAAACCAGGGACAGAAACAGGAGATGAGAAGAACTGGTGTGATCTGCTGGGAGGAAGGGAATGGACGAAGAGAGGCCAGCTATTTATAGATAGGCAACCCAGCAGATCAGAGAACAACAACAACAAGAGGGGACTGGGGGGCGCCAGCTATGCTCCTAGAGCGTGCGTGGCGAGCGTAGAGCATTGCTACAGCTGCTGGCTATGGGGAAGCAGTGGGGGTGTGGAGAAGCCAAGGGGGGATTGGCGAAATGAAAGGAAAGAGGAGGACAATATGCAAGAGG